TGGTACACATTTTCACTTTCCTTTCAGAATCTATTTTACATTTCTTTTATGTATGTTTGTAAAATTTAACCCCACACAATTCTCTGCTTATAATTAATTCTTCTTCTGGTCTGCTTCCATTTATTTCTGTTTTCCTATTCTATGAGCAAATTTGTTATTACAAGAAATCTAACATTTCTGGAAAAGATGATAGGTTCTGCTTTAGATTGCTCTCAGTGAGCCCTTTTATCCTTTTAATGTAGTTACAACTTTCTACAGAATTCTGTACAAACTCACACCCTATTCTTTTCCTGCCATTCTGTAAATGTCTAAGTTTATTATACTAAAATCCCTACTTCAGATGTATCCTTAATATCTAACAGTTCAATAGATTAACATTTTAAAAGAATTTAAACCTCCCATAGAAAGTATTTCCATGATTTCACTTCAGGCGTGTTACAAAGGAGAAAGATGCAGCGTAAAAACCCAACGACTGACTTTTAATTGACTTGCCAGTAAAGCTATTATGTGTTTCTGATCAAGTGTGTTTCTGTGTTCCCATCTATGAATCATATGTTACTGTCTCTTTGTGACAAAAAACTTGACATACATTCCACAGATGATGCTTAGCTTTATCAAGTCACTACAAAGGTTGAAGATATTTTCTTGGAACTATAGGAAGACTGAATGATATGGGAAAGAAAGATATGATGCCTGTCTTTTATCAACTAATGTATGTCAGAATCACAAAGCAGAAACTTCTTATGTTTAAAAAGCCTTATAATTCATTGTCAGAAGTTAGAGGTAAAGACTCCAACTTTTATTACTCTGTACTTTAATATAACCATTATTCTCTGCAGTTCAACTCACATAGTACTAAATGCAGAGCTTAAAATATTGTACAATACTGATTTGGGAAAATTGCTTTTCTGTCACTGAAATGTATTTTCATCCTGTTTTGAAGGAAAAGAATATTTGCCTTTGATTTACAGAGGTAGTTTCTGTACATAGCAAAGTGACATGAGGGGGTTATATTTTCATTTTTTAGTAAAATAAATCCTAGATTTCATAGTTTGGGTGAAATCCTGTCCTGAGTAAAGACAGAGGGTATGTCTACACTACCCCGCTAGTTCGAACTAGCGGGGTAGTGTAGACATACCCAGAGAGAGCTCTGGCATTGACTTTAATACAGACAAGATTTCACCTTCAGTTTTTCATTTTGTCCTTCCTTAGATAATAACCCATTTGGAGAGTTTTGCCTGGTTAATGAATCAGTTAAAAACTGAAAAAGCTTCTTGCAAGGTCAAATCCTGATCAGAAATCCAGTAACAATGAAAAATAGCCAGAGTTTTCCCAGTGCAGTTCCCTGAAAAAAAATATTCCATATGTAACCCTTCTGCCGGGTAGGCCTGGCAGTAACCAGGGCTGGGTTCAATATCTTGGGGTCCATCTCACACAGAACCGGCTCGAGCCCCCACCCACCCCTGGGTGCCTCTGAGAGGCAATGCTTCCCCACTCACAAGCACTGAGTCTGAGTGTAGGAAAGAAACATTTAATGAGACAGAGAGAGAAGTCATACGTCATTAACTTGGGGAAAACACCACAGAGTTTATAACCCAAACATGAGCTAAGCCTCCCCCCCCCCCAGCCAAGAATCACCTGAAGTCCAAAGAGTCCGACACCCCAAGAGTCTCTGTCCCTGGTCTGTGCCACCCAGAGTCCCAAAGTTCATTTGCAGAGTCCCAAAGTTTCACCTCCCAACCTGGGTAAAAATGGCGGTGGGAGGATAGATAGGGGGCACCTTACGACACTCCACCACGCTCAACCAGCTGTCTCGTTCCACACCACCGGACGCTCCGCTTGTCGCCTGCTGCCACTCCTCTCCTGCTGCCACCCCTCCTCGCCCTCCTCACCTGCCACCGCTCTGTGCCACACCTCTGGTCGCCACTCCTTGCCACCCCCACCCCCTAGGCCCCCCCCCCCCCCCTCCCCCGCTCCACGCCACGCCGCTAATGGCCGCTCCTCGTCCACCGTCACACCACACCACACCGCTGATGGCTGCTCTTCGCCTGCCGCCGCGCCACGCCGCTAGTCGCTGCTCCTCGCCTGCCGCCACTCCTACCGGCCACGTTACGCCACCAGCCAGTGGCGTAGCATGCTTAGTGACCCCCCACAACAGTCCCAAATTATTTACAATTGCCACCAGTCACTCTGCTGGTCGCCGCCACTTCACTGGCTGCAATAGGTCTGGCTCTCAGCCAAACCAGTGATTTCAACTCTTTAGCAACCAGCTGGACTGGCAAAGGAATCCAGCTTTCACTGGACTAGTGAAAGAAAAGACTCCTCAGAGAGTCTGCTTTAGGTCTGTCCTTAAAACAAAGAGGAAAAGGGGCAGGTTGGGCCAGTCTTACAGCTCACACCTGGCAGATATGAAACAGGCTGACTCCAGCCCTTTAACCTTTCCCCCCAGCTCAGTTCACTCAGCTCTGGAAGTGGGGAGGCTTGTTCCTCCGAGACCTCTTACCATGATGATGGTGTCTCTCCTGCAAGCACTGGTGGCATGTTTTACAGTTCCCACATTTAGGGGTAGCATGCTTAGTGACCCCCCACAACAGTCGCAAATTATTTACAATTCTCCTCATTCCATTCCAACACTGACCCTCCATCAGCCCTGGCTGAATGGAATTTACATAGCCACACCTCTTATTCTCTCCTGAGCTGTATTTACATATCAACAGTTAACAGTTAATTACCTTGCAGAGCTAAACAATTGTAACGGGCAAACCCACCCCTCCATTTAGCTGGCTGATAGCAAGCAGCAGTTCAGTCCCTGCTTACACATAGGAAAGAAAAGGAAATTAAATTCAGTCTCTTTTGTTTGGAAGAATTCTCATGATTTTGTTAGGATTCAATAGGTGGCCCCCTTCTTTAAGTAATTCAACAGCTGGAGCTGCTGAAGTTCTGTACCATGTCTAGAAAACAAAACCAAGACAAATGCTAGCCAGGGGAGTAAGATAGAAAATGGAGCTTTGATTTGCTGGAGTTGACTCTCACTTGCAAGCTCACTTCTAGAAAAACACAGGTATAGTACAGCAAAGTCCAGTATACATAGTTTAACCAGGTAAGCTAGATGCTTATTAGACAGAAGGCAAATGGAGAGGGATATGAATGAGAGGAAATAATCTGGGAGATGAAAAAAAACCACACAAAGGCACATGGCGGGGGGGGGAAGAGAGAGAGAGTGAGATTTGTGTGTGAGACAGAGAAAGATAAAGTCCCAGACAATGGCTAGAGGTCTTGGTCTGGAGAAGAAAACACATAGGGTATGTCTACACTACCCCGCTAGTTCGAACTAGCGGGGTAATGTATGCATACCGCACTTGCAAATGAAGCCCGGGATTTGAATTTCCCGGGCTTCATTTGCATAAGACGGGCGCCGCCATTTTTAAATCCCGGCTGGTTCGAACCCCGTGCCGCGCGGCTACACGCGGCACGAACTAGGTAGTTCGGACTAGGCTTCCTAGTTCTAACTACCGTTACTCCTCGTGGAGTAACGGTAATTTATTAAAGTTAGCCCTTTTGAAATAAAAAACCCTAGTCTCAGATTTATTTTTGTTTATCCTTCCATCTCTCTTGGGATTCACAGAATGAATGTCCACGGACCCAGAAGGTGGTTGGGTAGCAGCCAGAACGATAAAATTAGGCGTGGAAATTATTGGCAGACAATTTGCTAATTTCCTCTCCCCTCCCCAAATTCTTTTATTTTTAAGGTGGTTCAGGATAATCTTTTCTGTCATTATATTGTCCAGCTATAGTTGTAACTTCAGGCACACCACTTTGGTTAACTGATTTCTGGTCCACTACTCTTCTTTTTTACCAGTCATAATCTTGAGACAGTCTTTGAGCATTATCAATTAAAACTCCTTCTCTGTAAATGTATTCATTCTTTCTTTCTCTTTTATACATCTTTTCTTAAACAATGCTATACATCAGGTCACTGTGACAATGTTCGGACTTTCGCTCACTTTTCAGTTGATCTTACAGTTAAAGCAAATTTGTAGGCCACATTATCACAATAATACATAGTATCTACGTTGGTTTGCAAATCTTGAGTTCCATGAAATGTCTTGGGGGTCCATATTGTATTAAGTTTATGTATAGCTGAGGTACAGAGATTGTATGGGTGCTGGCCTTTTAGGCAAACTGCTTCACTGGGGATATCACAGGGTAAGCCAGGGAGCTGTGCAGGCTTAAAAACAAAACGCTCCATGCAGAAAGGAATGGTGGAAGGGTCCTTGCCCAAAGAGGATTGATGATTAAAGTTGCTAAATTTCAAATCACACATAAGAGCCCCACTCCTGCCCGGTGCCTCTGTCAAGTTACCATCCCTCATTCACATCTTTCCTCCTCCCTCTGTCGGTTGCTCTCTCCCACCCTGTCAGCCGACGGTCAGGGCAGTGTGTGTGTGTATGTTTCCGAAAAGGTTTAACGTCCGTGCCTTTACTGCTAGGACCGGGGTCCCATCGCAGAGGGTGGCCAGCAGGCCAACAGACGCCCCGTTATATAGGAAGAGCTTATTACATCTTAGATTTCAGCTGCTAGAATTTCATAATTCCTTCGCAGCGGGCAGCCTTGAGGAAAGACTGAAAGATGCCCCAGTGGGTCCTGTCACCTGGGAGTGACACAGATCCAAACGCCCAAGCTCTTCCTATAACTGTCCCTTTAGACCGGCTGAAGTTCTTTTAAATTGTGCTTGGTTCTGTTACAGCAACTGAAGGAGGCAGGTTAAAGCTTAAACAGTTACAGGTTTATTTGAGGAAGCTTATAAATCATATGGTTACAATGGCTATTGCTCTATTTCTTAACTATTAGCAAAATATAGGTCTTAAAAATGGTTACAAAGAAGATAAAGATAGAAAAATAGAAATAATGGTACCAAGTAACAGCTTACTCTTTCTATGTGTACACTTAAGACAGAGGACCACATCCAGGTACCATTTTTACCCCCTTCTGTGCCTCTCGACTCCAGCATGTCAGGCCAGGGCCGGTCCCTCAATTCCTAGGAAAGACGAAAATACGAGGTGGGCGTCCCCATAGAACCTCGGGAGGTCAAACACCTAACCCGACCAGCAGGTAGAGGGTAGAATGACACTCCAAGTGAGTGTGTGCTGGGCCCATCTTTATAATCATGGGGTCACGTATTTCTCTTTCTTATCTTAATTGCCAATTGATGCTGGTCTGTCTGCTGTGAGACCAGTTCTTACAAGGGAGTTGTGAACTTAATTTACACTTGTAAGAGAGAATTGAGATGATTAAATTTTGAAGTACTGGACATTGTTTTCTCAGTGGGAAATTCCTCTTCCTGGGACTGTGTGTGTTCGAATCAACATAGATGCCAGCCGCAGCCTCGAGGCCAGCTTATTGACTTAGCTACTCTCTATCCACATATCTGTGTTTCAGCTTCTCAGGATCAGATGAGCCAGCATAGACTATGCTGATATTATTGCTCCTTCTCTGCCCTGTGCTTCAGAGAGGCAAATAAGATGGATAATATGGAGGCAGGCTGTCTGGCCACACACCCTCATTCATTTGCTCATTTTCACCAGGCTGCAGCAGGGATTCAGGAGCGGATGAGGGCTCTAGCTAAGGGTACATTCTCCTGGGTGGAGTGAGAAAAGCGGGGTTCAGGATTCAGGAGAGGAATCTGGTATGGGACAGGAGGTTAGGATGCAAGCTCTGGGGTAGGATGAGGTGTTTGGGGTGCAGGAATGGGCTCCAGGCCGGGGTTGGGGGGGGGAAGGGGACAGGAGTTGACGGGTTTGGAGTAAGGGAATGATTTCTGGGCTGAAACAGGGGGTCATAATTTTGAAGGGGATCTGGACTTTGAACTGGGGGTGAAGGTTCTGAGGTGGAGCCAGAAATGAGGGGTACAAGAGGGGTTCAGGCTACAGGAGGGGCTCTAGGCTGGTACCGGGGGCTGGGATGTACGGAGTGCAGGTTTTTAAAGCTTTAAATTCATCAGTCACTAGATAGATCTTAATTATGGAAACTAAACATTAGAAAAAATGCATGTACTTTAAATTATAAAAAAGAACAAACTTTTAAAAAGAATTGACATTTTTAAATGACATATATTTGGCATGTGACTACATAGGACAGAAGGATGCAAGTTCCACACACAAAATCAGTCATACGATATCCATGGTGTCATGAACAGGGGGAGTGCTGACCAGAACCCGGTGACTAAGGGGTTAACTCAGATACCTAGCAAAGGTGTCAGCCAGGGGGCCGGAAGAGCCAATCAAGAGAGAGGCTTGAAATTTGAATTGGATATAGATTCCCTGCCTGCTTTCTTTGTGGGGGAGAATTAATACCAGCTGTTAAGAGACACAGAATGATTTAAACCCAGGCAGGACTACTGTGCCCCTCCCCTGGAATTCAGGGCATGGGAGCAGACTGAACAAAAACAAAATTAGAAGTGAGTACCAGAAAAATGAGCCTAGTTCCATTCAGGGTAATTTTTTCTTTATTTTGTGGTTTGGTTTGAACTGCTCTGTGAGATTCTCTGCCTCCTCTCCCCACTTGTCATCTAAGCATTGTGCCAGAGATGTTCTCTGATTTGTTTAATGTTTTCCCCAGTTGTCCTCTACATCTAGCAACCAAGTATGCTTTATCAACTTCATGTTTTTGTTTTGTAATAAAAATCACTTATTTTAAGGTGATGATTTGATTCTTGTATCCTGGAAGCACTGTCTGTGTGTATCTGCATGCCTCTGATTGAGGGGTCAGCTACCAGAGACTGCAGCTTGTTTTTCTCTTTTATCAAGCTCTTTTGAAGCAAAAGAGCTTGGGCTACCCTTGGGGGTGATTTCAATTGTTCACCCCTGTTTTTTAGGGATCAAAAAGCACTTGATGGTGGAAGCAAAATATCCAAAATCCGTGTATTAGGATTTTGGGGGGGGGGGGGAGGAGTTTTGAAGCTCTCTTGCGGGCCCTCACCTTCTACATTCATAATGCCAGAGTGGGGAATAGCCTTGACACATGGCAAGGGAAAATAATAGATGCAAGTTTTTTTGTTTCATACTACTTTGTTAACATGATATTTGTTATACATCAGATCAATTGCAACTGAATTTTTGGAGTACATATTGCTGTCTGTAATTTTAGAAATATATGATTCATATTATGCTAGCAAGATACTACATATTTTATATTGTATCGATCTTGTCTGATGTGGCAGTTATTAATACAGGTGATATGTCATGTAAGTATACAATAAAATATACTATATGTTCCAGTAAAGGAAATCATTAAAATAGTAAATACATTTGGATTTAGTGCTACAGATCTCCAGCCTGATCTGCAGATGGTGTAAATTTCTACAGTTCCTTTTACTTTAAGGAACCTGCAACAACTTACACAAAACAAAAAGGGGCTCTGGACTGTTTTTCATGGGTTTGCTTGAGTCAGGAAAAAGTAGAGCTATTTTCCATTTTGACTCCCATGGGGTATGTCTACACTACCACCCTAGTTCGAACTTTCTTAAAGTGTATTCCGAGGGAGTTGGAGATATGCTGTGGAGAGAACATAGCCGCCCTTCAAGGGACAAGCCTCTTTTTTTTTTTTTGGTCAACAACTTTTCCCTGGGGAATGGCCACCCTTAAAGGGGCAAGCCTCCTTTTTTTTCCCCTCAACAAAAAAATCCTTGATGTTCCCCATAAAAAAATTGTTTAGTGTTCCTCAGTCTTAAAAAGTTTAAGAAATATTGTACTAGATAAATATCTAAACTGTAAACTATATGTAATTCATGCATATGTTAATACTATAAGTCAGGGGTAGGGAACTTTTTTTGGGTTGGGGGCTACTGACCCACAGAAAAATCAATTGGGGCCGAAGGCTGCGGGTACTTGTCAGGGGACCTGGAGTGCCAGAACAGGCTCCCCAATTCTGAGGGAAGCCCTACAGCTTGGGGGCCAGATCCAGGCAACCCAGGGGCTGCATCTGGCCCCCGGGCCTTAGGTTCCCCATAAGTTCCCCAGGTATAAGTATTTACATATTCAAACAGAAGTGCAATGAGAAAAATTATATTTCTTACCTACTTGACAAATCCATTTACACTTTTTGTAGGGTCTGACAAATCAATTTTCTTGAGCAATACAATAAACCTAATACCACATTTTTTTAAAAATGGTATAGGAAATGCATATTAAAATAGAGACAGATTCTCTCCTACGTCTCTTGTGCATTTCAGCCGTGTGCTGTGTGGCTAAACAATCCAATTCTACAGTGAAAGACCATTCCAGAGATAATGCAGGCATATAGTACAGAAGATGAAGCTGACACACTTGAGCCTGCAACACAATTCCTCTTTGCTCTCTTCACTTTCCTTACTCTTGCAGCACCTCGCTTCTGCCTTTTGACTCCTTGATGTTGCACAGCCCTCCAGTGTAGCCAGTTGTTAGATGATTTTCCCAGCCTACAGGGTCAAGTCCCTTTTGCAAACATCCTAGAACCTGAGCCTAGGTCTGTACAGTGGACATGTACCATTGATGGTAGAGCTCAGAATTGGAATTTAGAGCTTTGTTTCATTCCTCGGACTACTGGCTTGCCGCAAACTGGAGGTAGAGGACCTCTTGAACATAAGAGCAACAGAATGGTCATACTGGGTCAGATCAAAGGTCTATCTAGTCCAGTTCTCTGTTTTTGAACAGTAGTCAATGCCAGGTGCTCCAGAGGGAATGAGCAGAATAGATAACCATCAAATGATCTATCCCTCGTTCCCCCATTCCCAGCTTCTGACAAACAAAGAGTAGGGTCACCCATCACTGCCCATCCTGGCTAAACAGCTATTGATGGACCTATCCTCCATGTCAGGATTTTATAAACCTCTGTATCTCCCTAGTTGCCTCTTTTTCAAGCTGAAAATTCTTATTAATTCCTCCTCATATGGAAGCCATTTTATATCCCTAATCATTGTTGTTGTCCTTTTCCGAACCTTTTCCAATTCCAAGATATCTTTTTTTCTTTAGACAAGGTTACTGTATCTGCATGCAGTATTCAAGATGTGGGTGTACCATGGATTTATATAGAGGTAATAAGATAGGGTATGTCTACACTACCCTCCTAGTTCGAACTAGGAGGGTAGTGTAGACATACCCTATCTTATTACCTCTATATAAATCCATGGTACACCCACATCTTGAATACTGCATGCAGATACAGTAACCTTGTCTAAAGAAAAAAAGATATCTTGGAATTGGAAAAGGTTCGGAAAAGGACAACAACAATGATTAGGGATATAAAATGGCTTCCATATGAGGAGGAATTAATAAGAATTTTCAGCTTGAAAAAGAGGCAACTAGGGAGATACAGAGGTTTATAAAATCCTGACATGGAGGATAGGTCCATCAATAGCTGTTTAGCCAGGATGGGCAGTGATGGGTGACCCTACTCTTTGTTTGTCAGAAGCTGGGAATGGGGGAACGAGGGATAGATCATTTGATGGTTATCTATTCTGCTCATTCCCTCTGGAGCACCTGGCATTGACTACTGTTCAAAAACAGAGAACTGGACTAGATAGACCTTTGATCTGACCCAGTATGACCATTCTGTTGCTCTTATGTTCAAGAGGTCCTCTACCTCCAGTTTGCGGCAAGCCAGTAGTCCGAGGAATGAACTTATTGTCATAGAATAAATAGAATCCCAGGGCTGGAAGAGACCTCAGAAGGTCATCAAGTCCAGCCCCCTGCCAGAAGCAGGACCAACCCTACCTAAATCAACCCAGCCAGGGCTTTGTCAAGCCGGGACTTAAAAACCTCTAGGCATGGAGATTTCACCACCTCCCTAGGTGACCCATTCCAGTGTTTCACCATCCTCCTAGTGAAACAGTTTTTCTTAATATCCAACCTAGACCTCCTCCACTGTAACTTGAGACCACTGCTCCTTGTTCTGCCATCTGTCACCACTGAGAACAGCCTCAAATCCCCCCTCATTTTTCTATTCTGCAGATTAAGCCCAAATTCCCCTGCTTCTCCTCATATGTCATGTGCTCCAGCCACC